GTATTTGTTTTAAACTTGTGCATATGTATTAATTAGTTTTTTCTTTTGTGTAACCAGGTGGTTGTGTGTTGCAGACTTCTGCCCAGGTCCCTCTTGAAAATGAGATCTAGATCTCAACAGGGTTTACCTGGTTAAATAAAGGAAACAGTCCTTTTAACTGGACTACACAGACTCAAAAGAAGTCATTTGGTGAAAAAAAACAGGTACGCAGAGCAGTAATTAAGCCAAAACTGTTAAAGAATATACACATTTTGCATTTAAGATAAAAACACCTTTGAACACTTAAGGAATTTCAGCCAAAACTCCTCAAGTGAAATAGTTTTAGCTTCATCACACACAGATGGCAGCATTTTCTCATCAGGAGAATCGGAATATTTCTTTCTGCGCATTATTTTCCTGCCGTTTTCTAGCTATAATTGTGTGTAAAATCCCAAAATAAATTGAACGTTATGCTTCAAACGCCCCAAAACATGAAAAAGTATGAATACTTTTGCAAGAACAGTAAGCAAGGTGCAGATGGTAATACTATGTTTAGGTTTTCTATCGGTTGAATCAGCTTTTTGATAAAATGTGGAAAATAAGAAGCAGTAAGTATACATATCTTCTTTTAGTTTTTTAATCAGGCTGATTAATTGTGGCTCGTACTGCTTCTGTCCTGTCATGTCCTCACAGCAAGCCTTTTCAATGACAAAACAAGAACCGCCCACTTTCAACCATGCTTGGCTCTCATTCGTCAAGCAGAAACAATCTCAAATACGATTGCATGCTTCGTCACGTCACCTTAAATCTCATTGGTTATGTCAGCTTTCCTTGCTGTACCAAACCTCCGGGTCACTGTCGGTGAAGTGCAGAGAAATAACAGCCGTTAGCTCGGTTACTCACGCTGCGCCGGCGGCAGGCAGATGTAGGTTTTAAAGAACTCGCTCCTTCGAGCCCCAGCTTTGATACGGTTAGCCACAGGCTTGCTCATCTGCCTCACGCCGAGGTAGAGGAGCTTGGCGATAGGGAAGGCACCGACAACCATCTTTGGCGGAAACACTTCTCCCACAGCGAGAGTGCGCAGAGGATAACGTGATGACGTTTAACTGTCGACATTACGTCACAGTGGGTGCGCTTCTTTTACAGCTAGCCGGTGGCTAAACCGGTTGAAAGTGACGATGAGCCGGTGTGAGAACGTTTTTTGTTTGTTTTATCATAATATTATACTATTAACCTACTGACAAATACGTAAATAAAATATGAACTACCAGAAATCACCTCTTTGATGTCACCCAGGCTACAGCTATGGTCTATGACACAACTTTATCAACAATTGCATATACTCTTTATCTTAGCACAAAGTAGAACCTGTTATTTTTTATATATGTTTCTGTTTATAATTTTTTAAAAGTATTTTGTAGACACATTTAAACTTTTTCCAAATTTTATTCTAGGTTTTAACAAAATTTAATAAATTAAAGGAAAAAACACAAAAACATCCTAAGTTTGATGATGTATAAAACCTAACTCATAAAAACTATTGGTGTCAACATCAGTGATTCTGGCCCTGTATTTAGTTGTTATTGAGTCGATATCAAAATATGCAGTATTATAAGTTGAAGTTGATCTTATAAGTCAACAGACCTGACTTACAAGATCAACTTCTCGCTTCATTATAGCTGACCCTTGAATCAGCAGTAGTAATATGTGGTGCAAACACATTTATTTCACAAGATGTACATGTCATGCAATTACAAACTGAATTAATTCAAAATTGTTTGCTTATGGAAAGTAAGCTTAAAATTATGTTTGTAAGATTTATTGTAAACAGTGTGTAAAGGGACATCGCCATATTGAAATTCTGACGTCTGTTTCCTCGGTTCTGACGTCAAACCCAGCTCTCAGTTACTGGAACGTAACCAGTAAACCAAAACATAAATGTGTAGTTTTAGAACAAAGCCTGGTGAGTTCATTCATTAAATCAGACAATAAGCGAGAATAAGTAAAGGCTAGTTCACTTTCATTTCTTTCCTTTTTAGCTTTGACAATCCTTTAAACAAGCTAATCTGAAGAACAAACTGCTTATTAAATCACTTACAATAAATGTGACTAACTTGGCCTCAAGTAACAATAAACAATCACGGTATCATCTGCTGTTTACCTTTTATCCTCCTTCCAGTAGTTCATTTTTGTCCTCTGTAGAGGACATTTATAAACTTGAATATCTCCCACCCGCTGCGTTCTACTGAATTAATTCATTTTGGTATCTAGAGAGGACATTTAGGGCTTTTCAATGATACCACATGTGAAGGGGTGGGACTTTTGTATGTATCTTTTTCTAATTCATAAAAATTGTGTTAATCAGTAATAACACATTTTATGGGACGAGACAAAGTAAGTGCATAAAACCTTTTATTACCTTACAAAGACTGGGATTTAAAAAAATGGTGATTGGACAATATTTTTTTTCCTGGTAGTCAGGAGGATATTAGAAATTTAACTGTTTTTTTTAACTGAACTAAAACACAGAATTCTGCAGCACATCTACTTGTTAAGGTTGTCATAGTCAAGCTAGCATAACTGACCTACTTCCCTACTTTCCTAACCTTGTTATCTAGTTGTCGTCATGTTAACAATTAGTAGAAAAGCATTGCGTGTTATGTTGACAACTTAACAGCTAAAAGCAACGGTAACCATCGTCAGTGATCAGTTTTTTATGTCCAGAGGGAACTTGTGAATGTGACGTCACGCTGCAACATGTCTATAATTAGAGTGGTTTATGTTATCTTTGGCTATCGCCGAAGTTTAAGACGCTCTCTATTTTCTCTTATTCTCTCCATACATAGACAATCACTGTTGCCATTGGCTTCAATTCAGTTCAATTAAATTCAAATGTATTTAATCAAGGACAGCACATTAAACAATGTTACATGTTGAAAACAGAGCCCCTGTTGTTTTGTTCTTAGGTTTGCTAGCTCCCAGCTAACTAGCCAACAGTCTTTGGTTGGACCTTCACTTTTGCCCGTGAATGCAGCATTAAGTGTCACCCTTTGTCCCTGACTAAGCCTGATCAGGAACAGCTCCACCAAAGAACAAATGAGTCAGAGAAAACAGCCTTCCTGTTTATTCACTTTCTCAGTCATATAGAGATACACCTCTTCTCAATTTAGTCTCTCCCTTTAAGGGCAGCAACAGTTCAGGAAGACGTGATGCACTTTACTGCTATTCTTATCACCCAGTGCTTCAAACTGAAATACCACATTACAAATAGATTAAAAAACCAAAGCAAGTGTCTTTATTTAACTTTTCAAAGCAATTAATGTTTTCTATTAAAGACAGTGGGGAGGTATTATGTAAAATTTATTTATTTATTTAAATCATGTTATAATGTTATTCACTCATCAATAATGAAGCTGGAGTGTTGCCTTGATTCTTTCATCCATACTTGAGAAACCCTTTAATCTTCATGGCAACCATTCAGCTATGTAAAACATCTGAGTGGACCTAGTCCCGCCTCTGAGGTGCAGCTCCTCCCCCACTCAGTTCCTTCAGACTAGCCAGCAGCAATTAGCAAACACCTGGCGCATCACCGGAGCTCATTATTGGATCTACTTCTCAGTGAAACACTGGTCAAATGTTGTGAAAGGGTAAGTAGAGGAACGATGTTGTGATGGAACCATGTTGTGGTTCCATCACAACACGGTTCCATGTTGTGATGTCATCACAACATGGAGCTTCAGAAAGAGCAGGAGATTTTAAAGCAACAGAGGCCCAATTTCAAGCCGGTAAAATTCTGCCAATAAATATCAGACATTTTCTGGAAAAAACTTTCTGAGTTTGAAAAGTAAGAAATTTTTAGATGAATGTGAACATTTCTAAACAAAACAAGAACATTTCTGAGCTTGAAAAGTAGAACACTTTCTAGAAAAACTCAGGGATTTGGAGATTAATTTCAGAAACTATCTAGAAATCTTGGACATTTTCTGTGTTCTTAAAGTTGAACATTTTCTAGATTTTTTTGACTTTTCAAACTCAGAAATTTCTATGCTTTTTTTAGAAAATTTCTGAGATTAATCTCAAAATTTGTAAATTTTTTCTAGACTTTTTTTATTTTACTTTTTTCCAAGTTTTTCTAGAAAAATTCTGATTAATCTAAAAAAAGTATTATAAAATTTCTAGAATTTTTTTTGATTTTTCAAACTCAGAATTTTTTTTCTGGAAAATTTCAAAGATTCATCTCAAAGGTTTTTTTTTTCTTCTAGTAAATAAAAACAATTAAATTTCTAAGCCTGAAAAGTCCAGAATGTTACTTTTTGAGCTTAAAATTTCCTTAGTTTTTACTAGAAATTTTACTAGAAAATTTCAGAGTTTAATTTCAAAATTCCTGAGTTTCTTTTCCGACATTTTTTGTTTTGTTTTATTTTTTCCTTATCTATGTCCCTAATAAACCGTTTCAAAGTGGTAAACATGATAATCACAGGTTTTTGTTTCGCGGAATGTGCGCTCCGCCTTCTTCATAGAAAAAACCCGGCCAGCCTCACCTGCTGAAGGAACACCTGGCTCCGGTTACCGAGGCGCAGAAGCAGCAGGCAGCCCAGCCAAGGGGGTTGGACTTTGCGCCAAAGTAACTCCAGACTGCGCAGCTCTGACTGCATGTCTGGAGCCGCAGCAGCAAGAAGCAATCAGAGGCTGAGCGACCCGATTTCAGGAAGACAGGAGGCAGTGGACGGAGCTCAGATTTCCTTTCTGACTGGAACAAAGGAGAGGAAAAGATTTTTTTAAAGATCTTGAGGTAGGAACGCCTTCACTTCCCCACGGAGCGCACGAAAATCTTCCGCATCTGCGTGAAAACTGTGGTAAAAACTTGTCTGTCTTTACGCGATCGGGTTTGTTTATGCAGCTACTTTCCAGCTAAGTTGAGTTTCTAATCTTTTACTTCGTGGGGTTTTTTTTTTCGCTCCTTGTTGCGGGTCTCGCTCCTAAGGAGGAGCTTGTTCCTTCATGAAAATCGTTTTTTTTTCCAACAAAGCCAGAAATATTTCAGACTGAAACCACAGAAACTTTTCATCTCCTCGTTAAAACGGAGAGAAACTCAGAGAATATCTGTTTTAGCTAAACTACTTGCTAGATTTGGGGGTAAATATTCAGTTTTTTTTATTATTACTTCTATTTTATTACCCAAATTATAGAATTATCCTAATTGTGGTTTTAGTTTACTGATTTTCTTTCACCACTAATTAAACTCGCCTTGTTTGTAAGCTTTCTTTTTTAAGCCGTACATGTCATTTGCATTAAACTCCCCAAACATTCCTGTCTGAGCAGGATTTAAACGGGAACGTTTCTAACTTCTTCACCTTAAATCGCTTTACTGTCAAGAACCAGCTGGGCTGCATTGTGGAGCGCTTGCTGCAACCTGCTGCTAAACAAATAACACCAGAACACCAGTGATCACAGCCTCTGTCATTAACTGCATGCATGTTCAAACCTGCACGCTGACACACACACACACACACACACACACACACACACACACACACACACACACACACACGCACACACACACACACACACACACACACACACAGATATTGGGATTTTCTTGGAATTACATGGGCACAGCTTGTGCATGACACACTGCAGATTGCTCATGATGTTGTGGAGAACCGAGAGATTCCTGGGTCACATGCTGGGAGGTGAAGTGGGGAAGCAGCGTACAGTTCAGGGCGACGGGTCAGAAGAGGGTCAGAAGCCAACAAGGAGGCTGCAGGGAATGTTTTCTTGTGTGTGCAGATTGTTTTTTATCCACAGCTTGAGAGGATCAGACCATACCCATTTTAAATATTATAAAATGAGAGTTGCCATTATAAATATGCGGGAGTGTGAGAGTTTCTATGACTAAGTAGGTCGAGGTATAAGTGGCATAAAAGGAATTTATGGGAGGAGTTTCTTTGTGAGATTCTGTTGGTATAAAACAAGGATTAATCCTAAAAACAACAGCTGATATGTTGCCATTTTCTTTGTCATGAGCTAATTTTATCTGAGATGCTTTTGCACAATAGGAATATTTACCTTGGCACCACATGTTGATTTGAGAAATGGCCTTGAATTAATCATCGTCTGGTCACTGTGATGCAGATTCCTGAAACTTTATGCAACAATAACGCAATACGTCCAAATAGTGGTTACACATTTAACCTTTGCCTTTTGAAATACACATTTTAAATCATTACATAAAAGAAACTACAAACTGCAGTGCATTTCATTTGGTTTTTATTTGACATCCCAACACAAATACTTACAGAATAATGGCGGGCGATATGGACTAAGAATTTTATCACCATATTCTGTGATAATATTGTGATAATGATGAAAATAATGATAAACTATTGTATCTTTTTAGGTAACTGGGTGGCAACACAAAGAACTGGGCTTATTAATGTGCTTTATATTACTAAACTGCACACAGAAACACTGCAAAAAGGATAGAGCTCCAACTTAAAAGTGTGTTAATTTGTAACCAAATTAAGTTTAACGAAGTAAATAAATTTCAAGGTGGACTCACAGAAACTTAGGAGGAGCGGCAGAGCCCGACTGCTCAGCTGGAAGAACCCGTCCACCAGTCAACCTCTTTTTATGTCCAGTCCACAAATCTTTGTAGAAGAGTGGAAAGAACAAACTCATCAGAAGTAATGCTTAAAGTTTGCCACAAGCCATGCAGGCTTGTGGCAGAACAAATTGGAAAGCAGTCTGGTTAGAGCAGATGAAAATTAAATGTTTGTGGTTACTTGTAATGAAATTACTCTGAACTGCCGACTGGAAAATCAGGTGGTGGCAGGACTTGGCTTGCTTTTCTCCAGCAGGAACTGAAAAGATGATGGTAAGATGGATGGAAGTAAATAAAGGAATAGAGGAAGAGACCCTGTTTGAGGCAGAGGCTAGGGATACGTCCAAACAGGCAAATGCAGCCCAATCACAGCAGTCTGAACGGCCCAGTTCTATGACGGTGTATTAGAACTATTGTAGATTTATTTTTCTAAATGAAAAAAGGAGTAAATTTATGTTAAAAATCTTTTCTAGAGACAACATAGACATTTCATAAGCTGAAATTGGGAAAAGTCTATGCTTCAAACAATTTTTTTCCCATCAAATGTTTGCCTTTTCAAACTCAGAAATGCCCTTGTTAAAAAAAAATAATAATAATCTGAGATTAATTTAAAAAATTCTGAGTTTTTTTAGGGGGACTTACTCTTCACTTTTTATATGTGTATACCTACAATAACCCTGCCATACCAGTGGACAATTCCAGTCTTTTCAACAACAAAAAAATCTGATTTGTACCATTTCTGTACTAGATCGGATATTAAATACCTGATTGTTTCCTCAGTGTCTGAAGTCTGAACGGCCATGCTGTCAGTTGTGGTTTTTGTTTTATTAGCTTCCTTCGTCTTAAGGCTCCCATCGCTGAATAACTTTAAATCGATCCATGACAGCGGCGTCCATTATTACTTCCGTAAACAGAGCGCTGCTGGGTGACGTCAACGTTCTTCTTCTTCTGCGCATGCGGGGTGCTTTTGGTCCGATTGCAGTCCGCTTTAATTAGCAGTACGAACGACAACGGGAAAAAACAACAAACAAATGGACAAATAAAACGCTGTTTTACAAAGACCAATGATGCAGACTCGCCCTAAAAGTGAAAGGAGCTGCTTGGAGTTCAACATCACCGTTTTCAGATTTTCATTTATTTAATAAATTTTTTTTGTGTTTTTTAGTCGTGTAAAAAAAAAAAACAGTGGTTTTTGGTATTAATGTGACGCGCTATTGAAATGTTCTGGCAGCAGGTCTAATTTCAAGGCAACCCTCAGGTTGTGTCAACATGACATGTTCTGATGCTGAACTTTTTTTACTTTTGAAACTCAGAAAATTTCAACGTTTTTTTCCAGAAAAAAAATTAAACTAATTACTAAATTTCTGAAGTTTTTGGTAGAAATTTACTACTTATTTTATTACTATTTTTATTTCCAATGGTCCGAATACACTGTCATAAAAAATCCCTTTCAAGTTTTAGATCTACAATAAATTAAACTCAACAAAATCTTGGTAATTTATTTGCTTGATTTTAGTTTTTCTTTGTTTTTTTGGCCCATGACTTGTTTTGATTTGACTATTTTGGCCAATGAAACAAAAAGTTTGGACACCCGTGACTTAAAATCTAAGCTGGCAGTGATGTTTGGGTTAATTCTGTGATCCGTTGCAGGTTTAGGTTTACAGACAGAACAATTAAACACACAAAACGAGTAAATCACAATGGCTGGGTCAGATTTTCCTTTAATCCTCCCTCCTTAAACCAGCGTTGACAAAGCTAGAAAAGGTCAGGAGGAAGGATATAAAGGAGGAGCAGACAATCGGGAAACAGGACACTGAAGGGTTCAGCAGAAAGTGAATTCATGAACGTTTGCAGAATGGGAATAAGGACGAACTACGTGTAAAGTCTTCAGACACACCAGGCCAACTTTTAGCTTCTTATTTGCTCTGCAGTTTGCATTTATTTTCAAACAAAGGTTCCAAGGTTTTCCCAGTCGGAGCTGGTTTATCTTTCGTCTCGTGGTTTTTCATGGTGGCTTCCCCGCTCGTTTACGAGTTAAGGGACATTGCAATTTAATTACTGGGAAGAAACAGGACAGAGGCTGATTTATGAGGTTTTCCACAAAAGCTTTTGGAGGAAACTAAAGCAGGACTTCGTCCAGCTAACCCGCTTCTTAAGCATGCTTTCCTCTGCCTCACTTTACTGAATATTAAAAAGTGGGATGCTGTTTTTATCTGGGTTTATTCAGACGTAATAATTCATGTTGCTGCAGGGACAGAGAGGAAAAATCAGACACAAAAGTTGCTAAGAGGAAGGATGCCAGGTCACTGTAACCCCAAAATATGAATAACAACATGGCAACAACACAGAGACTCTTTCTTTGGAGTTGGACTTACAAACGACAAAAAGTTTAAAAGAAATAAATACAAACTTTGTGTTTTAGTGCAACCTGTTTGTGTGTCAGTAGAAGCGCTGGGCAGAAAACCAAAAAGTTGTACTTAAGTAAGAGTAACACTACTTTAACATATTTTTACCCAAATAAAAGTAAAAAGTATCTGTCCAAGAAATTACTCATGTAGGGGTAAAAAAGTATTTGGTAAAAAGTCGACTGAGTAACTGATCAAATTATCAATCATTTAATATTTAAAAATTACATTATTTGTAACATTAAAATATAAAGTGGAGTTTTGGTATTTTAAGGACTAAAATTACAGAAATTCATACTAGTAACAAAAAATAATAAAATCAGACAAAAGAAAATGTTTCCAGATCAGTTTCTTTCAATGAAAAACTTCAGAAACTTTAACAGAAACTGCAGGTGAGTGTCCGAGTCTGGTGGATTTTAGGTTAAAACACGTTTGTTTTTCATTCAGTGAGTAGAAAATCCAGAAATTTTACTCAAGTAAAAGTAAAAATACTCTTAAAAGTAATTTTGTTTCCAAAAAACGTACTAAAGTCAATGTAAGTAGTTGGTACCCGACTGGCCAGAAGTGCAAACAGAGAGTTTGTCAGGCCGGCGAAAGGTTGAGTAGATGAAGGTTGACCTTTGTTCGCCAGAGAGGCTTTCTGCATGAGCTGCTTCTGAGAGAGATAACAGTTGGAGGCCGTGTTTTAGGCAAGCGCCTCACAGGGAGGAGCGTCCAGGAATGCGAACAGGCCCGGCGGAGCCCGGACTCCTTCCCACTCCAACGCAGCGCGGAAACATTCAGCAGGGTGTGACATTCTCTCCGCTCCTGTTTCAAGTTTGTTTTGTCCGCTTTCTCTCTGATTCTTTTTTTAATCCTGTTAACCTTTACGAGTTTTTACAGAATAGTTGCTGGAAACATCCCTTTGTTACTAACAGACAAGTTGGTGGTGTTTACTTTGGTATTTTTAGTTTAAACTGCAGGTACGGGCAGAGTTGGGCAATAACTACGTAGTTACATTTACTCAGTGACATTTTTGTACAAATGTGCTTGTAGGAGTACTTTTACTACGCTGTACTTTGAGTAATTTTATTATGAAGTATTTCTTCTCTTACTCGAGTAAAATTTCTGGATTTTCTACCCAGTGAATGAAAAACAAACATGTTTTAACCAAAACTTCACCAGACACAGACATAGACTTTTTTGGGGGCAAAATGAATGTACGTAGCTGAAAATAGACACCAGCATCGGTAGCCTACAAGGTACTTGTTAAGCTTAAGTTTCAGTATTGATATTAGCTAGTCATCTTTTAGCTAACATTACCTGCATCCAACAGCTTTACTCAACTCAGTCGTTGGAGGGAAAAACTGTGAAAAGTTCTTTGCGTTTTGCTGGTTTGCTGCCGTGATTCTAACACAAACCTACGTAGCTCCGCCCAGCAGAGGCAGGTCTCCTTCACAGGTGGAAACCCAGCGCGAGCGTCGTAGCGTTTATGTTGCGTTTAAAGGCGGCTCGGAAAAACAGGTTACAACATGTTAACAACGGACTAAACTGTTTTAACTGCTGATAAAAGTGACAGAGGACACAAATATGGTTAGTGTGGAAGCCTCTACTGTATCAAATTGACATAGGAATAACAGAGAGTTGGCCATTCTAAAAACCCAGCGCATACAGTGTTCATGTTTTGTTTTGTTTTTCATCCAGACGCCTTCCGCCCCACCGTTTGGGAACCTCTGCTATAAGGGAACCAGACCCACAATTAGCTGCGTTTCATTACAAATGTGTGCAAAACTTTGTTGGTATTCCAAGACGGCAGAAATGTTTGTCCATTTTGACGCCTCACAGTTAATTTATCAGTCTGTTGGATTATAGCTGTTCATGTTCAAGAAGCCGTTTTTAAACCATCTGAGCTTTGAGACGTGGTGCGTTGTTTCTGTGGAAATAGCCTTCAGTTGGTGCTCAGGGAGGCGGTGGCATTGAAACAATGCACTGCAAGTATTTTGTTTGTCTAGTTTCTTAGTACACATTAAATGAGACAAAACTCATAAATATAAATATAAATGTTTTCAATATGACAGGAGTTTGTTTTAAGTAAATAGTACTAATATCACTTCTATTTGCAGATAATTTCATTTAGAACACGTTTCAGATTAAATAATCTACCAGTGGAACCAGTACTTATTAAAAATTAATCAGTATTATTGACTTAAACAAGCTCCTATGTCTTGCTGAAAAGTTATGTGTAAGACTTGAAATAAGACAAAACTAAAACATTTGCAGTATAAATTAAACCAGAAATACTTGGCTGTTGTGTTTTTGCAGTGTGGTCTGTTGGGACTAAGGGGCTGAAAATGTGCCACAAAAACCAACCACTACCGATCTGAACCATTTATACCCAAACCTTCATGTTGTTTAGATTCTGACCCAACTTTAAGTTCACAGTTTAGCTGAAGTTAAATTATTGATGGAAAAAAACTTTCTTCACCTCAATGAAAGCAAAACTCAGAAACTTCAGACTACAAATCCAGATAATATTCTTGGTTCCTTGGCTCGGTCTTGTCAGACCTCTGCTAGGAATCTTGGTTTCATATTTGACAGCTCTTTAAAGTTAAATAAACAAGTTAGTTCTGTCGTTAAATCGAGTTTCTACCACCTTCGGCTTTTAGCAAAAGTTAAATCTTACTTCTGCTTTAAGGACTTTGAAGGACTTATCCATGCCTTCATAACTCGACTGGATTACTGCAACTCTTTATGTAGAGGGATGGATAAATCACAGATTCAGCGACTTCAAATGATCCAGAACGCAGCAGCACGGCTTCTTACAGGAACCAGGAAGCGTGACCATATAAGGCCAACTCTGGCATCTTTACACTGGCTGCCTGTCTTTTATCGAATAGATTTTAAGATTCTTTTGTTAACTTTTAAAGTTTTAAGTGGGTCAGCCCCCCCTTATCTTCGGGACCTTTTAAATCTCCGGTCTGTGTCCAGAACTTTAAGATCTAATAATCAGTTATTACTTACAGTTCCTCGAACTCGACTTAAGAGGAAAGGAGATCAAGCTTTTTCTGTTGCTGCTCCTGTTTTTTGGAATAACTTACCTTTTCAGATGCCCTCAGCCTGGATCATTTTAAATCACTTCTTAAAACTCATTTTTACTCTTTGGCATTTAATTGATGTATTGTTTTATATTGTTTTG